TAGAGGGAGTGGAGGCGTATAGAGGGAGTGGTAGCGTATAGAGGGAGTGGTAGCGTATAGAGGGAGTGGTGGGTTATAGAGGGAGTGGTGGCGTATAGAGGGAGTGGTAGGGTATAGAGGGAGTGGAGGAGTATAGAGTAAGTGGATGGGTATAGAGTGAGTGGTAGCGTATAGAGGGAGTTGGGAGAGGCGCATGGAGGGAGTGGTAGCGTATAGAGGGAGAGGTGGGGTATAGAGGGGGTGGTGTCGTATAGAGGGAGTGGTAACGTATAGAGGGAGTGGAGGCGTATAGAGATAGTGGTGGCTTATATAGGGAGTGGTAGCGTATAGAGGGAGTGGAGGCGTATAGAGGGAGTGGTGGCGTATAGAGGGAGTGGTGGCCTATAGAGGGAGTGGTAGCGTATAGGGGGAGTGGAGGCGCATAGAGGGAGTTGTGTCCTATAGAGGGAGTGGTAGAGAATAGAGGGAGTGGTAGCGTACAGAGGGAGTGGCGGGGTATAGAGGGAGGGGTAGCGTATAGAGGGAGTGGTAGCGTATAGAGGGAGTGGTAGCGTATAGAGTGGAGGCGTATAGAGGGAGTGGAGGCATATAGAGGGAGTGGTGGCTTATAGAGGGAGTGGTAGCGTATAGAAGGAGTGGTGGGGTATAGAGGGAGGGGTAGCATATAGAGGGAGTGGTAGCGTATAGAAGGGGTGGTAGTGGTATAGAGGGAGTGGAAGCGTATAGAGGAAGTAGTGGAGTATAGAAGGAGTGGTAGCGTATACAGGGAATGGTGGCGTATAGAGGGAGTGGAGGCGTATAAAGTGGAGGCGTATAGAGAGAGTGATGGTGTATAAATGGAGTGCAGGCGTATAGAGGGAGTGTTGACATATAGAGGGAGAGGCGGAATATAAAGGAAGTGGAGGCGTATAGAGGGAGTGGTGGAGTATAGAGGGAGTGGAGGCGTATAATTGCATGGTGGAGTATAGAGGGAATGGTGGCGTATAAATGGAGTGGAAGCTTATAGAGGGAGTGGAGGCATATTGAGGGAATGGTGGCGTATATAGGGAATGGTGGCGTATAGAGGGAGTGTTGGCGTATAGAGGCATTAGAGGCGTGTTGAGTAAGTGGAGACGTATAGAGAGATTGGTGGCGTATAGATGGAGTCCAGGCATACAGAGGAAGTGGAGGCAAAAAGAGGGAGTTGTGGCGTATAGAGGGAGTGGTGGCGTATAAAGGGAGTGGAACCATATAGAGGGAGTGGGGCGAATATAGGTAGTGAGGGGCGTATAGAGATAGTGGGGCGTATAGACGGAGTATGGGTGTGTAGAGGGAGTAGGGGCGTATAGAAGGAGTGGTGGAGGTGAGGGGGGTAACGGTGTAGAGGATTACGGATTCTTCTAGTGTATCTTAGTGGAGGGGGGGAATATAAGTTTATTATTATTATTATTATTATTATTATTATTATATTATTATTATTATTATTATTATTATTATTACTAATATTATTGTTATTTTATAGCATTATTATTATTATTATTATTATTATTATTATTATTATTATTATTATTATTATTATTATATTATTTTTATTATTATTATTATTATTATTATTATTATTTCACGAAACGCTAAATCCCTGTGGGTCGGTCAGTGATTGCGATACTGTGTCTATCCAGCGGGCAGTTGGTGACCACATGAATATGTGTATCCGTATGTATGTGTGTGTGTGTGTGTGTGTGTGTGTGTGTGTGTGTGCGCAAGTGTGTGTGTGTGTGCGTATGCGTGTGTGTGCGTGTGTGCGTGTGCAGGCGCGCGTGCGTGTGCTACGCATGCATGACAGCCGCACATTACGCTCGCAGCAAACGCCATAAAGAAACATAATTACGTCAAGCTGCACCGTCATAATCGACACGTGTTTCCATTATACACACGCAGGCAGTCGATCAAGCCAGCTGGTGATTGTGGATCTACTTAGGACGGAGATGGTCGATCACGCCAGTTGGCACCTTTAAATCGACATGAACGCAGAACGCAGATGGTCGATTACTGAAGCCGGCACCTTTAAATCGACGTGTAAATACAAGCTGCAGTCGGTCGATCACTCCAGTTGTTACCTTTAAATCGACGCCAACGCAGGACGCAGGTGGTCAATCACGTCGGTTGGTAGGGCAGGTGACGTGACCGGAAAACAAGCCAAAGGTCGAGCGAGCGAGCTGATGTCAGGGGTCGAGGTGGCCAGAGGACAAAGAGGTGTCGATCGATGCCGTTGGTCGACAGGTGGCCTCAATAGCTGACACGAAGGCGGCTCCCAGCCCTTGTTACAGGACGCGAGTGGGAGCCAAGTGGGATCGCGTCAGCTTACATGGGATCTAAGGAGCTTCGATTCGACCCCAACGTCACCCAACACCATCCTCCCTTGAGGCTGTGTCTCTTTTGTATATGTATATATATATATAATATATATATATATATATATATATATATATATATATATATATATATATATATATATATATATATAATACATATATATATATATATATATATATAATATATATATATATATATATATATATATATATATATATTTTTCTCTCTCTATTTTTTTTTTACACAGGGTTTGACAAGGTTAAGGATCCCTAGCTTTATTGACAAGCTATTTACAGATTAAGGATTCCTAACTTTATTGGCAAGCTAAGAGCTGTTACCTACATCAGCTCATTTGAAAGCATTTTTATTGTTATGAGACATATAAGTAGGGAACAGGATGAAGTTGGAGCCATCTGTGGGCCAGCATTTTTATGTGATCAACTGACTTTATCTCGTTGACATCATTTTGCTGTACGAATGTGTTCCATACTCGAGTCATCCTGGGTATAAATGATCTCAGATGAAGTGATGTTCTGGAGAAGGGTACAGCCAGAGTGAAGTTGCTGCTTTCTGCCCGTCTTGTGGTATAGAAACTTGCTTCACGCTGTCCTCGAAGTGGATCCAAGTGTGGTACTTTGACAATATTGGCCTTGTACATAACAGTAAGGCCACCCACATCCCTCCTATGTTGAAGGCTCTGCTGAAATGACAGATCTATCCAGGATGGGTCCAGGCGAGAGATGAGACGTCTTGCTCTGTTCTCTACTCTGTCAAGCAGTCGCAGATGAGAGAGCTCTCTCTCTCTCTCTCTCTCTCTCTCTCTCTCTCTCTCTCTCTCTCTCTGTCTCCATGAGTAGTTGCCTGAAGATAGAAGATTCTCCAAGGTTCAAGTGGAGAACGCCTCGTTCGATTGGCTTCAAATTTCAACGCTTGAATCTTTCTATGGGAAAGATTAAATCAACTAATACCATGTGCAGGTAGCTTCTGGTCACTGTTGCACCTTCCCAGGCGCTTTATAACTTGCGGTTTTAAACGTTCCTAAGGAACATAATAATAATAACTATAATAATAATAATAATAATAATAATAATAATAATACTCTTTTATTTAGACAAGGTTTTAGCCGAATTTCCTTGTTCATCCGACTAAGTTAATACTGTTATTGTGATTGATGCTGCCAGCTGTGTATTTCTATGTAGATATATATTTAGTCTATGTGTCACTAAGCGGTTATTAGTGCTTTTTTTGTGTGTGTTTTTGATGGGACGGGCGGTTCATTGTGAGTTAATGGTTCGGTTATGCAAATTCGACGCATTACGCCCTTATTTTGGTCAGCTGTGTTTCGCCGAATCAATATTCTGCCTCCCTCTCTCTCTATATCTCCTATCTCTCTCTCTCTCTCTCTCTATCTCTCTCTCTCTCTCACTCTCTCTCTCTCTCTCTCTCTCTCTCTCTCTCTCTCTCTCTCTCTCTCTCATTACCTCCACACCACCTTTCATAAGAACATAAGAACATAAGAAAGGAGGAACACTGCAGCAGGCCTGTTGGCCCATACTAGGCAGGTCCTTTACAATTCATCCCACTAACAAACATTTGACCAACCCAATTTTCAATGCTACCCAAGAAATAAGCTTCTGATGTGCAAGTCCCTCTCAAATCCAACCCCTCCCACTCATGTACTTATCCAACCTAAATTTGAAACTACCCAAAGTCCTAGCCTCAATAACCCAACTAGGTAGACTGTTCCACTCATCAACTACCCTATTTCCAAATCAATACTTTCCTATGTCCTTTCTAAATCTAAACTTATCTAATTTAAATCCATTACTGCGGGTTCTCTTTTGGAGAGATATCCTCAACACCTTGTTAATATCCCCTTTATTAATACCTATCTTCCACTTATACACTTCGATCAGGTCTCCCCTCATTCTTCGTCTAACAAGTGAATGTAACTTAAGAGTCTTCAATCTTTCTTCATAAGGAAGATTTCTAATGCTATGTATTAATTTAGTCATCCTACGCTGAATGTTTTCTAACGAATTTATGTCCATTCTGTAATATGGAGACCAGAATTGAGCTGCATAATCTAGGTGAGGCCTTACTAATGATGTATAAAGCTGCAGTATGACCTCTGGACTTCTGTTGCTTACACTTCTTGATATAAATCCCAGTAATCTATTTGCCTTATTACGTACGCTTAGGCATTGCTGTCTTGGTTTAAGGTTGCTGCTTACCATAACCCCCAGGTCCTTTTCGCAATCTGTATGGTTAAGTTAAACATAGGTAAGTACTGGTTTTCTAACAGAGTTGTAGATGCGTGGAACAGTCTTCCCAGTGGGGTGATAGAGGCTAGGACCTTGGGTAGCTTTAAGAAGAGACTGGACAAATATATGAGTGGGAGGGGCTGGGTTTGATTGGTGTTGGGGGGTGCGGGAGTTGTTTCTTGAGTAGCTTTAGGTAGATGTCGTTTTGATAAGGACCTGCCTCGTATGGGCCAGTAGGCCTTCTGCAGTGTTCCTACATTCTTATGTTCTTATAAGTGCTAGGGTTATGGACACTCCCTATGGGAGTGTCCATAACCCTAGCCCCAACTCGCCTTCCTTCCCTCCAACACTTCCTATCTCCCTCTGCCACGCCCAAAGCCTCACCTGTGATGATCCACTGATAATTCTTGCCGTACATGCCCTTCCGGAAGGCTTCGCAGAATATCCTCCTCGCCCAGTGCTCGTCGAAGTAGCCCAGGATGACTCTCACGTCCTTGTCGAAGAGCTTCTTCAGCTGCTCTTTGAGTTCGTCCGCTATATTCTGGGTCACAACAATCTCATACTTGTGCATTTCCAGCAGCGAAGCCAAGTGGTTGTGAGCCTGTTAAGAAGAGAAATGAGTATCAGATGGTTAGGAATTGCTTTGGAAGTTATCGGAAGAGGTTAGGAGCAGTTAGACGAGCACCAAATGGTTAGAAACTGCATGGAAAGACTTTAGAAATGCAAGGAGTTGTCAAATATTGAATTCGATGTTGGAAACGAGCCACAGGCACTTAAAAGATTTCAAAGGATGATAGGACTTCTTAGACGCTGAATTCCGAAGGGTAGATGCAGAGAAGAAAGGGAAATAATGTTGGTAGAATTACCGACAATATGCTCAACTAATGTAACATTATACTGTGGCAACGTTTCGCTCTCGAGGAGCTTCGTCAAGCCATTACAAACAATACAGGGACACAGAGGATATATACATACAAATAACAGAGTGAGATGTACGCTAACCGGTCCATGTGGAAAAAGACACTTATGCACAGCTCAGGACATTTATTAGAGAAAACGTTTCGCCCAGTGTGGCCTCTTCAGTCCTAATACAGAGATAACTATGAGCGAGGATATATAGTGGTATGAGTCAGGTGGTAAGCTGCTGGAGGGTAGTAGTAATAGCAGTAGTAGTACTAGTAGTAATAGTAGTAGTAGTAGTAGTAGTAGTAGTAGTAGTAGTAGTAGTAGTAGTAGTAGTAGTAGTAGTGGTAGTAGTAGTGGTAGTAGCAGTAGTAGAACAACAACTTTATCTCTGAATATTAGCAAGAGTTCTCCTCATAATAACAATGATTTACCTCCACTACTACTACTACTACTACTACTACTACTACTACTACTAACTACTACTTTTTCTAATACTACTACTTCTACTACTACTACTGTTACTACTACTTCTACTACTACTACTACTACTGCTTCCACTACTACTACTACTACTACTACTATTACTACTGCTACTACTTCCACTACTATTACTACTACTACTACTACTACTACTATTACTACTGCTACTACTTCCACTACTATTACTACTACTACTACTACTACTACTACTACTATTACTACTGCTACTACTTCCACTACTACTACTACTACTACTACTACTACTACTACTACTACTACTACTACTACTACTACTACCAACAGCATGGGCCACTTAGCCTCTGTTGCGTCTGTATACTCTCTGTGTACCTGAATTGTTTGACAAAACTCCTGGAGAGTAAAAAGTTGCCACAGTACACTGTCACGTTGGTTGTACAAGTGACCTTTTACCTAACAAAAGCAACTTCTTGATAGACTGTATAGGAGTATAATTTTTATTTCTAGGTTTTTAGATGTTCAATTACAAGATTTAGAAGAAGCATTTACAATTATTTTTCAGTCGCTTTAAATCACTGGGAGAATTTTTTTGTTATAGACACATTTGATATACTTAAGAGCATTTAAGGTGTGTACGAATGGTATACAATACCGACAAAATGAGATTAAGACACATGTGCAACATCTGGGTATCTTTATTGTAACGTTTCGCCATCCAGTGGCTTTAAATCAATACAAATTCTAGGACATAACTTGAAGACAGTAGAACTATGTACAGAAGATGAGGTAATCAGTCCCTCAACCTAGGAGTAAGGTGCGAAGAGCACCATAGTCGTGGGATTAAATCAGAATCTCCACGCCCTGCGGTGCTTTTTCGCACCTACTCCTGGGTTGAGGGACTGATACCTCATCTTCTGTACATAGTTCTACTGTCTTAAAGTTATGTCCTAGAATTTTGTTATTGATTTTTTAAAGCCATGATGGCGAACGTCTACAATAAAGATACCCAATTTTGTTGCCACATGTGTCTTAATCTCAGCATTTAAGGTGATTAAAAGCATTAAAAATGCTGGTTTGAAGGATTAAATTTGAATAAAAGTTTGAGGTATTTCAGAGCTAGTTTGAGATTGTTAGATACATTGTAAATTGAAATATATACTTATCACTTTTATAGATTTAATTGGTGTGAACTGGTTAGAAATGAGTCGTTAGGAAACTAGAATAGCTTACAGGTATTTAGATTAGATGTGAGTGTATGAATGCCAATGAAGTATATTAAAAAAAATCGGTGAAATAGAGTAATGTTGGATAAAAGGAAATGAGAGTAGTCCGATAAACACAGATATAAACAGGACAAAAAACACTGAGGAAAATAAGCGAACGGTTTGACTCACTCACACACACACACACACAAAACCACATTGCACATAACATGAATTATGGTTGGGGATGGTAATTGGTAAACAAGCATTATCTTCGCTAACGATCATTAAAAAACGTCGCTCGCACCATTCTCATTACTAACGACCGCACTCATCCTACTGGATAATCGCTTGTTACCTGAATTAATTAAAAACTGCCTTGCACGCCGTTGATCCTATTTGAAAACGTCTGAGAGTAGCAATCACACCGTGGTGTGTGTACTCACCTAGTTTTACTCACCTAGTTGAGGCTGCAGGGGTCGAGCCCCAAGCTCCGGGCCCCGCCTCTTCACTGGCGCTACGGGCCCACTCTCCCTAACCGTGAGCTTTATCATACCTCTGCTTAAAGCTATGTAAGGATCCTGCCTCCACTACATCGCTTCCCAAACTATTCCACTTACTGACTACTCTGTGGCTGAAGAAGTGTGTGTGTGTTTGTGTGTGTGTGTGTGTTGTGTGTGTGTGTGGTGGTGTTGTGTGTGTGTGTGTGTGTGTGTTTTGTGTGCGTGTGCTGTGTGGAAATTAATAAAAAAAAATGCTGGATCACACACTGAGGAAATAAAACGTTGAAAAAAAATAGATGGGCGAAAGATAAAAAAAAAAAAACAAGACTTTGTATAGAAGACCTTGAAGGTTTGGGAAAATATCTTGAGGGAAAATGCGGGAAAGAGATCTGAAAGGGAAAACAAAGGGAACTGGAAAGGAAACTTGGAAAGGGAACTAAAGAAAAGAAAAAAATTGGAAGGAACTGAAAGGGGAAATACAAAGGGAATTTTGGAAAGGGAAACCCTGGAAGGGAACGGAAAGGACGGGAAAAAGGGACCTGGAAAAAGGACCTGGAAAGGAAAAAACAGAAAAGAAAAGAACATACGCTTAATGCTTGAAAGGTAACCTCTAAATGGAGAAAATCATATAATTAAATAACTTACGAGCATGTACAATTTAAAGTCTTGTTGGCCGCCAACTCTGCGAGCAAAACCCTTTCGTAAAGAAAGACCGACCCAATACATTTTATTGGAAACATTCGCCCCCCAATTAAATACTTCCTTCTGGAAATCTGACCCCCACCTGTAAACCTCTACGGGCCCAGAACCCAACCTTTTACTTGGCATCTGACCCCATGAACCTATTGCATTGAAACCTTTAAACTTACTGGCAACTGACCCCACCTGTCCACCTCTACTGGCATCTGTCCCCACCTTTCACCTCTAGGCATCGCCCAACCTTTCACTCTATGGAATCTGACCCCACCTGTCACCTCTTTTCAGGAATGCTTTTACTTGGTATGAAAGGAAACAAAATTTCACGAGTTGATAAGAATACATGTGCAACATTTAGGAACTACTCCGAAGGGTTTTCGCCTCACAGAAGGTTCTTCAGTGGGTAAGAAGAAGCAGCAGAGCGTGAGATGTAAAGACGATGTAATCAGTCCATCACCCTTAAAGGCGTAGTTGGGAGGTCAAACCTCCGGGATAATGCAATCAGCCACAACTGATCCGTCGTTCGATCCCGTACCCGGTACCTAAAACCCAGGTATCGCGTGGAAACATAGTACCTGGTGTTAGTCCGACTGGCGTGGGTCGAATCCTGGGATTATTATTATTATTAAAGATTAGCCGGTATTCTCCCGGCCCGGGCCTTTTCCAAGTGGTGGCCGGCCTTGATTTCCCTCTTTAGGGAGTGTCTGAGACCTAAGTCTCCCATGGGAGGAGGCACAAGTACCTCCTCATCTTGGCCCAAAACTGTCCCCAGGCCTACCACAAGCTGGGCCCCTCTCTGGTCTGCCATCCCCGCCCCAAGGGGGCTAATGGGAATGACAGTCTTATGAGCTAAAGGCTCGGGTTCACGCACCTACCCTACCCTAGAAGGGTTAGGCATGGTATCGATGGAATCCTGGGACAAAATGACCTAATTTCCCCCGAAAGGCTCTGCATAACAAGGGGCTTTCTGAAAGAGTAGTATGTCATTGATGTCTGTTAGGCCTGTGTACCATATACATGTACGTGAAGAAAGAAAGATTATTATTATTACTAATTATTATTATTATTATTATTATTATTATTATTACGTGATGAATGTAATTTTTATGTGGCTTGAGGAAAAACTTCACATAAAGCGATACGTTGTCTAAATACAGGCTTGTTCACCATATTTGTATTTATGTTGACAAATGAACGTTCAGGCGAACAAAACAGAGGTTATAGAACAAGCTTTCACTTGGACAACATTTCGCTCTGCTTAGAGCTCTATGAAGTCATTCACATTACATTCTTCTGCAAAGAGCGAAACGTTGTCTCAAAGCGGCAAGCAAACTTATATTTGCTTAGAAAGTCTATAATATTTTCATTAATAAGGGGATATATAGGTAATTTATACCATCCATCTCCACATCCTTCAGTAAGTGGATGTAATAACAAATGGAGTTTGAGAGTCCATCAGCCTGCCTGGGGGCCGGGTGGTTTAACGCTCTCGCTTCACACGGTGGGGGGCCTGGGTTCGATTCCCACCCAGAGTAGAAACCATTGGACGTGTTTCTGTCCACCCTTTGTCTATGTTCCCCATCAGTAAAATGGGTACCTGGTGTTAGTCGACTGGGGGTGGGTCGCATCCGGGGAACACTGACCTAAGGAGGCCTGGTCACAGACCGGGCCGCGGGGCGTTGACCCCCGGAACTGCCCTCCAGATAAACTCCAGAAAAACCCACTGCAACCCAGGCAGTTATTTACAAATGCAACAGGGATTTACACTGTAAACTGCAAGAGGCTACAATACGCACACACACACACTATTTTCTCTTCTCTCTCCCTCCCTCCTTCTC